AGAAATATTTTAACATAATATCTAGAAGTGGGAGAATCACTAATTTCAGTAGACCTAACCAACAGCCCATAAATATGAGAGAATCTTCTGTGTGTGACCTATAGGTCTATTGTGTGACCATGTCTGAGAAAGCATTTAAGCGTGCATTTAAGTTCCAGTTGGTGACTAATCTGGAGTGCAGCTAAACATAGACTGCAGTGCCTTTTCTGGATGTGCTTCTTTTCTAGATAGGCTCCTTTACTGTCAGTTTATTTCACATGGCAAATACCTATCTTCCTGTAATAGGAATTTAAAGACTTGAGTAAGCAGAATCACAGAATCACAGAATGGTCAGGGTTGGAAGGGACCTCTGGAGATCATCTAGTCCAACCCCCCTGCCAGAGCAGGGTCACCTACAGCAGTTGCACAGGACAGCGTCTGGGCGGGTTTTGAATGGCTCCAGAGTGGGAGACTCCACCACCTCTCTGGGCAGCCTGTTCCAGTGCTCCACTACCCTCAAAGTAAAGAAGTTCCTTCTCATGTTAAGATGGAACTTCCTATGTTCAAGTTTATGCCCATTACCCCTCGTCCTATCACTGGGCGCCACTGAAAAAAGACTGCTCCCATCCCCCTGGCATCCTCCTGTTAAGTATTTGTAAGTATTAATAAGATCCCCCCTCAATCTTCTTTTCTCTAGACTAAAGAGACCCAAGTCCCTCAGCCTTTCTCCATAGGAGAGATGTTCCAGTCCCCTAATCATCTTTGTTGCCCTTTGCTGGACCCTCTCCAGCAGTTCCCTGTCCTTCTTGAACTGGGGAGCCCAGAACTGGATGCAGTACTCCAGATGCGGCCTCACCAGGGCAGAGTAGAGGGGGAGGATGACCTCCCTCGACCTGCTGGCCACACTCTTCTTGATGCACCCCAGGATGCCATTCGCCTTCTTGGCCGCCAGGGCACATTGCTGGCTCATGGTCATCCTGTTGTCCACCAGGACTCCCAGGTCCCTTTCCACAGAGCTGCTCTCCAGGAGGTCAGCCCCCAACCTGTACTGGTGCATGGGGTTATTCCTCCCCAGATGCAGCACCCTACACTTGCACTTGTTGAATTTCATCAGGTTTCTCTCTGCCGAACTCTCCAGCCTGTCCAGGTCTCGCTGTATGGTGGCACAGCCTTCTGGCGTGTCAGCCACTCCTCCCAGTTTTGTGTCATCAGCAAACTTGCTGATGATACACTCTATCCCTTCATCCAGATCATCGATGAATATGTTGAACAAGACTGGGCCCAGTACTGACCCCTGAGGGACACCACTTGTTACTAACCTCCAACTAGACTCTGCGCCACTAACCACAACCCTCTGAGCTCTATCTGTAAGCCAGTTCTCAATCCACCTCACTGTCCGTTCATCTAAGCCACACTTCCTAAGCTTTCCTGTGAGGATGATGTGGGAGACAGTGTCGACAGCCTTGCTGAAGTCAAGGTAGACAACATCCACTGCCCTCCCCTCATCCACCCATCTAGTTACTTCGTCATAGAAGGCTATCAGATTAGTCAGACATGACTTCCCCTTGGTGAATCCATGTTGACTACTTCTGATAATCTTCTTTTCATCCAGGTGCTTTGAGATGACTCCCAGAACAAGCTGCTCCATCATCTTTCCAGGGATGGAAGTGAGGCTGACCGGCCTGTAGTTTCCTGGGTCATCCTTCCTGCCCTTTTTGAAGACTGGAGTGACATTGGCTATCCTCCAGTCCTCAGGCACCTCACCTGTCCTCCAGGACCTTTCAAAGATAATGGAGAGAGGCCCAGCAATGACTTCCCCCAGCTCCCTCAGCACACAGCATGATTCTGCTTTACTGATCTTTTGCAGGTAATGTTGCTGAATACTTGCAGGTATAGAGTGTACAATTGGTGAAAGTGTATTGCTCTTGCATAGCTGCCTTATTCTGCAGCGGTCTTGACATATGAAGTCTTGGGCAAATGTGAAATCCTGACTTCCTCCCTGTAGAATATGGCATATTTTTAGCCCATTGCATGTTGCATGCCTGCTATATCGTTCAGGCCCAGACTGAGACAGAAATCAGAACCCATTTCTAAGAAGTCAACTTGTCGTGCACCTGAGGTCTGTATGCACTGGAGGCTGAGTCTGAAGAGGTAGCCCAGAGGATTAAGCAAAATTTAAGTTGCCTAAACTCAGGCCGTCATCCCCGCAGTCCTATACAAGGTCAAGCACTGTACAACACATGGAATCCAAAACTTCAGGACAAAAATCGTTTTACAAGAGGAAAAACTTCTGTATCCATACAGGGCATGTGTCTTCCCAAGTATACCAATATGACAAAGTGATTGTCTGCAATGCAGTGAAATAGATTAAAGAAACTCAGGCTCGGGAATCCTTTTGATTCTGCATATAAATACACTAAATAGTCTGTAGCAGGCAGTCCCCTGTTCTTCAGTCACTATATGGTCTGACTTGATGCTGCCTACCTAAATGTTGCATTAGTTCGTGTAATGTAATTTGTACCTGTTCATTTCCCCCAGTTATCTCATATACCCACAGAGAGAAAAAATTGTTACATTCTAGATGTCAAAATGACATTAAATGATCATAACATTTTTCCTAGTTGTTACATAAACTTGCATGGGCTCCATCCCGTAGTGGTGGACCTGTATTGGGAATAAGTTTGTGACTCTCGATCAGAGAAAGTCCCAGCCTAGATGAAAACTCAGTTCCATCTCCTTGCTTCTGCTTTTTTCCCCAGATTCCACTTCTGGCAGTGGTGACAGAGGCTTGCATGTTTTCTTTACCATGTAAGTGCAGTTCCACTGGCTCATTTTGCACAATTCACTAAATAGCACTCATGTAAAAAAATTGGTTTTTAAAAGTATTCTGGGGTAGATCCTAAATTTCAAGCTAGGGGAAGAAGGCCGCACATTTTTTTCTTGCACATTTCTTCATGCAATGTAAACATCATCTTGGTCAGAACCTCTCCTTCTGACCCCACTTGGGTCAGAACTACTGCCTGAAAAATGGAGAAATACTGGATGATAGTCTTTGAATGGGATTTTCTACTGACAAGGGTGCTGCCTGTGATTTCCAGGGAAGAGGAAGAAGCAGACCAAAGAGGAAGCAGTAATGGGCAAATATTATAGCAGGATGAAAGAGAGACAGTGAAAAAATAGGCAAAGAGGAAAGAAATTGATTAAGACTAATGTATGGGAGGAGTGAAATAGCCCTAGGTGATCAGTTGTCTTGAAGATCAGCTCAGACTTTTCACTAGATTGATAAGGATATTTTTGTTTTCTGAAGGTTTTTAGAATCAGTTCCTTCCTCAGCAAGGGTTTGGTAATTTGCAAGAATAGAAGTCTGGACTTGGCTTACTTATTTCCTGTGTGTTTAAAGACAGAATCAAAGTCACCACTTCTGGTGTTGGTACCAGTCAGTGGGCCAAATTGTCCTCTCAGTTTCACTGATGCAACCTTATTTGGCTGGGAATTCTCTTTGCTCCTGCTTTACTTCTGTGTTTGTGTGTGCCTCTGTGTCTGTGTTACTGTGCTTATTTGTATGTTCAAGAGTCAGAACAAACATTTTAGCAATAAGAATAAGTGATGTGGAAAATTCTCACTGTGTAACATTGGTAATGGACAGAAACCATAAAAGAAGATGTTCAGCATGAAAACTTTCAGTAAAGATCCCTGTGGTTTAGGCTTTCTCCTTTCTTTACCCTTCATTATTCCTCTGTGACAAAACTATTGTTTCTTTTCAACAAGAGCAGGTGAAGGCAGTTGTGTAAAAAAGTTACAGTCTGTATTTTCCCATTTTGTGTTTGTAAGTGATGTTTAATTGCTCATGATGAACCAAGCAATCATTTTTTAGTTAAAATCAATACAAGATTTCCCCATCCTTTGAATTTCCTCTGCTTTCTGTAACGGCTGCTTCCAAGTAAAAAATCCCCAAAGCAACACAAAATGAAACCAAGCCCTTTTTGAGGTGTTCATGGCATTGAAAGTGATCATATGTGTTAGTAAGTGCTAGTGTGTTAACAGAGAGATAGGCAGAAGCATTTTTCACAGTAGATCTGTTTGCTTTTTAACAAGTGGTTGTTGAAGCACTTAAAAATTTCACTGCATATCTGAAACAGCAGTAATGGCATCATAAAATTAAGATTGTTTTAAGTTAGGAACAGCACTATATCCTACTGGAATATCCTACTGATATTCCAGCTGAGACACATCCTGTCATTCCTCTGGAGGATGGGTATTCAGCTGATATTTTAACTTAATGTTGCCGATCTTGGTGCATTCTACAAACCTATTGCACATCCAAAACATGATGTACACAGTCTGTCTGTACTGCAACATACAGGGCTTTCCACATAAACCAACAGCTGCAAGCAGTAGATTTTTATTGCCATTTTCTTTATTGAATGCAAAGTACATAAAAGGGTGAAATCTAAAGGTTTCAAATACAAGACAGTTAGGAAATGCACACTTACTATGTCCCACAATCAAATGCAGTTGCTGAAACTTAATTTTCTGAACCTTAGCAGTCCCCTACACCTGTGAAATCAGGAGCTCTACTGCAGAGAAACTACCAAATTTTTCAGGTGTCTGGAGTTGTACCTGGCATTGCACTAATTTTCAGGGTTATTTGCAGTGGTCCAGATACAGAAGAGTGCAGTATAGACTCAGCATGCAGTGAAGGCAGAAACAGATGGATTAGATTCCTGGTCAGAAATACCCGTCCATGTGAGCTCAGTCCAAATGTGCAATGCAAGAATGATGAAAGCCTGAGTCACAAATACCTGTTGTAGCAGAGCACTGTGTTCTGGCTCTATTAAGATCACATCTGCACTTATAACAGACAAAAATATTTTAATCTATAAGGACATCAGGCTGCTAAGATTCAGTGTGGGCATAGCTCTTTTACTGGTATACTGAAGCTATTTTAAAAAGCATATTTCAAAACTGGATATTGTTACCCAAGTACAAAGCAGGAAATCACTTGGTCACATCCTGATCTATTATGCTCCCCCTATGGTTTTCCTTATCCACTGAAGGTATTGCTTTGTGAGTCGAGTGTAGATACCAGGGCCATCAACAGCGCCACATTTGTTTGCCTTCCCAAAAGCAGTGATGCCTCTCAGCTCATTATTGCACCTCAAGGGTCCGCCAGAATCCCCCTGGAAAAATGGAAAGAAAATTGTCATTCAGATTTACAAAAGCTAAAAAATACTTCTTTTAAATAGAATTTGCACCAATTGCATTAAGGAAATAAAAATGTAGATGGTGCTATTGTGGATTTCTTTTTTTTTCCTCCTTGGAAGGTAAGATTTTCCTTAGCAAAAAAGGAAAAAATACTTCAATCTGATCTTTAAAGTGTGACTAATGGGAAATGAATCTAGCTCAGTGCTAAGGAGTAGTTAGTCTTTTGGGATATGAAAAGAAAAAGCTGGAAACTTTACTCTTGAAAAGCAGAAAGTCTCTAGAAATTGGTACCTTTTTTGTAACATTGTTAATTCAATATTTAAATCTTTTAATATGTGCTAGTTCTTACACAGTTCTGCGTTTGACTTGGGGCTCAGTCAAAATGCTTTTTATTAGCCAAACCTGTTTTGAAGCCCTCTGACATCAGGGAAGTTGTTCCATTGAGGTTGGCTGCTTGAGAAGGGGCTCATAAGCTATTTTGTGGAGATTTTTCTATTAAAATCATTTTATTGAAGAACAGAATAGCTATTTGCCATGGCTGGATAAAAACACAGTATCCTAAGTCTGTGAAGAGGGATTTATCAATCAGAAGTTTTGATTTTAAGGCTTAGAAGAACAAGCCTAGCTAAATTCACTCATTTTTAATAAAAGTCTTCATTGAAGAGAGGCAGAAATTATAAATGTGTAAAAGCTAGTACTTTGTATTTTATTTTTAATATAATCTATCTGGATATAGACAGCAAATATACTCACATGACATGAGTCCTTTCCTCCTTTCTTATCGCCTGCACATATCATGTTGTCTGTTATAACAGGGTTGTTTTTATAATGACGATTGTTACTGCAGATTTCCCTACTGATGACAGTGATGTTGACCTCCCTCAAGATATCAGAAAGCCGCTTCTGATTGCCAGTTTGTCCCCATCCTGTTACTGTGCAAATTGTTCCTGGTTCGGGATCATCATCTGAGTCAGGCAGGTCAATCACTTTCACAGCTTTAGTAATTTTTGCTCTTTTCTGAAGCTGTAGAAGATATGGAAAATAGTTATTCTGGGGCAGAGTCTAACAGAGGCCCCTGCATGTTAACCATTGGATCGTTCCCATTACGGTAATGGGGGATTCCTGCAACCCCTTTTTGAGACTCCTCTGTTCTTTGTGACAGGATTTGTGTAATCAGTCTAAGAATCAGGAAAATGAACATTGTTTGTCTCATGAAAACCCTGATTCTGATGAAGTATTAGCTTTAAAGAATAACCTATTTTACTTCTGTGGTTCTTAGACCACTGGGAAGACAAAATAGCAGTAGTCAGTGAAACTGGCAAAACTGAGAATCAGAGAAATCTGAAATTTTTAATTAGAACTCTTTTTCAGACAGAACATTAGGACTTTTAACCAAGTTATTTCATACTATGTGTGAAATACACTCCTTTCTGTGGACAATATTTATTCTACCACTGAGAAGCCAGAAATTGGAGCATCTTGGTCAAGCTCCAGAATTTTTCTGCTTCTAGCATTGGCATGCATTACAGGAGTTTTTAATTGCCTTAGTTCCCAGTGCATCCTGAGTTCCCCAGTCTTCTGGATTAGCAGACCAGACTACATCACCCCAGAAAAAAAGTCACCCGAAACCCCCTTAGCTCATCTCCCTCACAAGAAGGAAGAAACTGATACATCGTAAGAGAGGCATATTCCATAAGTGATGCGTAAATCTATACCTGCAGCAGCATAAGGTCATTTTCCTTACAACTGGAACAGTAGCACGGGTGGCGAATTTGTTTGGCAATCTGAAAAAACTGTTTTTCTTTTTCTTTTTTTTCCTGTGAATGAGCTCCGAGAACAACTTCGCCTCCTTCCCTGAGAAGAGAGACAACATGGTTAGTGGGATTCACTTGCTGTAACTCCATAATTCTTTGCTGTTAAATGTGGTGCTGTAATGTCCAGCTGCTACAGAATATCTTTTTTTAAAGCCTGAAAAGCATCAGTAATTTAGACAAATGTAAAAGATGACCCTATTTCTACAAGTAGTTTAAAAAAAAATGACTCAGGGAATCAAAATTGATGCTATCTTATTTTCAACTTCCCAGGAGCATAGACAGGGTTCAGGTACTTGACTCTGCACCTACATTGTTTCCCTTGGGAACTGAATGCGAGGTAGATATATCAGCTTTGCTGTGGGTAGTGGTCTCAGTAACCGTGTTTTTTGCAATTTGTGCTGAAAATGTGGGAGAATAGCTCACAGCACTGTTAGTTCAGAGATCATCATGACTGGATTGAATTGTACCATTGCTTTGCCCTAACACCATTTCAACACCATTTTTTGAGACCATGTGAGACATACCTGATTCCCTTTCTCTAACTTGTTCTTCAAATTCACATACTTGCTAGATACCGAAGTGCTGACAGTTGTGCCTGCTGGGGATCTCTGGTAGAGAAACCAGGAGTCTAGCACTCCTTGGTCAAGCAGTCCAAGCAGAACTTTATATGAGAACCACAGGTATGGCTGTTTGTGGGGGAACAATGTACGTTACGACTGAATGGGAGAATATTCTTTGAGCAGATATGTAGGCTGGCCCTCGTTTGCAACTTACTGCAGCGAACACAACCCTGAGGAAGAGATTGCTCCTTTCCTTCAACTACTATGAGCTGTTGACTGAGCATCATTAGGTTAATTATTTATTGTATTTTCTCTTAAATGCGGTCTCATTTGGAAACACTCTTTACCTTATGTTAATATGACAGCTTTTGGGCCCTATGCTCTCTTTGTAGTAGGTCCCATATATCTTCTTGTTTGGATGGAGACAGGAGAGACGGATACATTTATCTGATGTCTGCAGATTCCAGTGATTCACTGGTCCTGGGCAGGACATCGAGACAGCCTGTGTGAGGTCTGGCTCAGCAGCAGCTCCACTCCTCCTCACAAAGGCAAGGGGTAAGATATGTCATTTAAACCTCACATCTTGCCTTGCTGAGGGACTCTGCAGGGCCAAACAGCCATTTGCATCTCGAGTCAGACAGGAAGAAGAAAGGTTGGCTGACAAACCAACATATCCATCTCTCAGAGTATCCTGCTATCTGTCTGGAGGATTTTTGCTCCTGTATCACTGCCTACTGTCTGTTTCTGTGGTGAACTGCATATCTTTCACAGAATAAAATGACAAGAATTTATTTCTGTTTTCTGAGCAGCTATTTAAACTGGCCAGTCGTCTGGCCTAGTGCACTGGTTGCCTGAGAAAACAGGGATAAATCTTTGCCCCAAATTCACTACTTCAGTGTTGCTATTCTGTGCTTATATGCAGCTAGAGGCTTGTAATGCGTCTCTTCAGTGAAGATCAGTATATCTTGTAATTATTTTTTACTGACTGAAGCACATTTGTCATTATAAATTATAAAACACAGTAATCAGAACATGATTGTGGTCATGCTAAATGCACAAAATCACCAGGGTTATTAACTCTCCTTCTTGAAGAGAGACACCAGATACTCAGTAAGGACACTCTCTGGCTATGAGTAAGAACTTACACCTTACAGTGGGCAGCTGTTAACACCCAGTCTTCCTTGATCAGAGCTCCTCCACAAATAAGCTTTTTATTTGCTCCGCGGATTAGGGCCATAAATGGTCTTGAGTGTGGTGGTACTTCATATCCTCCAATGATATCCACACACAAACCTAAAAATAAAAATAAGCCAAAATACACACAGCTGGGCTAACAAATACTGTAAGACACTTGAAGTCTCTTAGGAAAAACAGTTAACGTAATTATAAAGTGTACAAGTATGTACGTATGTAACAATGCTGGTCTTCAGGGTAGACTTAAAATTGCTCAGCAATACTACTTCTGTATGTTTCATTGGGACCAAAGTTAGGTTAGTGGGGTGAGCTTTGACAAGAAAAACACCAAATTATTGTTGCTTTTGCACAGATTTCTTTTCCTGAAGTTCACTGCTATGGTTAATTTCTTAGCTTTCATTGTGAGTAACAACCTCAGATCTGCCACATGATAAACGTTGTATAATATGTGACTTATGTGGACACCTGGAAACTGGCCTATGTAATGTAAGTCACATTACATGAACCTGTTTTTCAGAAAAACAGACAATCAAAAGATTAATATAAGTCTAGGCCTCTGGAGAGAAAGGTTAGATAAACATTATGTTAACTCCTCTGAATGCCTCCAAATAGCCTGTCCTCTGTGCAGCTTTAATTAATACTACCCATTCAGAAATTATTTTGTTTGTACGAGAGATCAAATGCATGCAGACAATGGAAAAGAGCTATTAATAAGAACTTAAATAATAGTTGTGTCTACTTCCTTTATATTGGTAGATGTTGTCTTAACTGGAACTCTGTACATCAGCATTTACCTTCAAAAGGGTGGAACTGGGCACTTACCTCCACGAATTACCAGGAGAATGGCAGCAGCAGAGGTGGACAGGGTGAGAAAAGCTCCCATGATGTCTGTCTGGTGTTCCCCCTTAGTCACTGTTCAATATATATCTCTAAATGAAAAGGAAGTGGGTTTTGTTTTTCCTCTTAAGGATATTTCACATTTGTAACTGTGACAAAGGCAAAAAACCTCCCCAACAACATAGCTTACAGCAGAGGTGTTAGTGAGAAATTGCATCATCTGTTGTGGTTTGAAGACAGGATCTGCCCCCTTCATGTTCTCTCTGTGGCATTTGCAGAGAGCTAATATATGAGTACTGGGGTGAAACCTTCCAAGCCACTATGTGTCCAGTTACACCGTGGGACTCAACTCATATAAATTTAGGCTTGAGTCAGTTGCCCGCATGAAGACATATACTTTCATTCTAGACACCCCAGGTGGCTTCCAGGTCAGAGATGAATCCCAGCTCATTCCCCATTAGCTACCTGTGCTGTTCAGAAGCCACTCAGGGCCAATGAATCTGATGCTTGGTCTTTTCAGCATCTGATCCTACCTCATTAGCTTTGCAATGGATGGCCACCCATATAACACTGAGTGTGGTTTAGTGGCCTAGAGCTAAGGGTATAATGCTATTTAAAGTGTCTTAAGGTGTCTTAGATCTGCCTCCTGGTAAAGAGGTCTTCTGTAGATGCTGTGTCAGATTTGCCAGGCCTGTGCCTATATCTGGGAAACCCAGGGTATCTCAAATGTCACTAAATGCCTAGTTTTAGGCAATTGAGAACTTGCACATCCCCTGTATCTATCAGCAGTTAGTAGCTCTGGTGTTCTTTTTTTTCCCAATGTTCTCCTGAATGCAGTATCACCAGGTATCATAAGCACCATTCTTTCATTTATCACTTATAAATAGTCACCAAAGTCTGATTTCATGACACTTTAAATAGCAGTCTTGCCATATTGAAGCTGTTTCCTCTCTGGACTATGCACAGACATGATCAGGATGAGCACTTGTGAGCAAAAATCCTGTACACTGAGACCTGCTTAAATGCATAGTACTACAATGATTTATCCTTGGATATTCCTATATGAGGTGCCGTGTGTAGTGAGAAGAGCTTTGGTATGTATTATCCTGTGTTTACCTGATGCATTTTCAAGAAAAGCCTATCTGGGAGACATAGAATAAAATGCTAGCAAGTGTTCCTGGATGTTTTCCAGGCAACTAAGATAAATCTATGCCTACCATCTAAAAATAAATTTCTATATCCTGTTTATATTTTTTTCAATATCTAAATGCACTCCTATTTACTTCTAAATCTGACTTACTTCTAAAGATATTTTTCTGTAACTCCGTAGGTATTAGCATATTCATGCCTTTTAAAAAATCTCCTCTAATCCTGAGAGATACAATTTACAATGATAATTGGAATTAGGAACACGTTGTTTGAATACTGTTTGACAACAGTGATCGCTTTCTGCGCAAGCTCCTTCTGAGCAACAGCTCCGACTATCACATAGTCCTAAGACTGATTCCACAGGTATTAAAGATCAGATTGGTACACACATAATCAGCTTCTAGTTTTGTACCCAAATGCTTTTGTCAGTGTCCTCTTCAACTTATAACTTATGTAGATGAGGCTGAAAAATTGACATCAAATTTTAGGGTGTGCAACAAGTTGGCTGAGCTTCTTTGATTACAGCAGTAAGTTAATTATGGTCAAGTTTGGATTTTATTGGCCTTTTGCATGTAAAGGGAAACCTCAACGCAAAACTTCCATCTCTATTTGAGTGCATTGTCAAATTCTTTTATTAGCTCCTCTGCTGCATAAGCAATTGTTCTTCAAGAGGACTGACATATGTAAGCAAAATGCCGCATCCTTTCCCCTGCAGTGCCCTCGAGGCATAGCCACTCTCTCAGCAGAAACCACTGGCTGAGCAAAAGAACAATGAGTCTACCCAGCTTCTATTTCTAGCTTTTGCTTTTGAGGGAATTTCCCATGGGCATTAAGCCTGTGGATCAGTGGATCACTTTCAGCTCTGCTTCTGTACTGTGTTGAGCTCTTCTGTCCCTTATCTCATACTCAGTTGTTCTGATCATTTTGCTTCCCCAGAGACTGTGCTCCTTTTCACTTCATGCTACTTTCTGTGGTGCTAAAGGTGAACATCAGGTATGATTTTAGGAGACCAACCCAGGAGACCATTTTAAACCACAGCTCCAAACTTTCCAGAGTTGCTGGGTTCCTGAGTTCAGGCAGTGCCCTAGCTCAACCACAGGACTGGGGAAGGGAGGGCAGCAAAGTGGTGCCAGGAGCGGAGCGAGGCAGATCTGGGATGCCTTCTTCATCTCCACCCTGGGCTGCGCCATCCCCAACCCCACTCCAGTGTGTTTACCTGAACACATCCCTCAGTGGTTGGGAGACATGCTCCCAGGGACTCACTGGGAAAGGGACAGGATATATCCTAGGGATGGCTATTTTACTTTCTTCTCTGATATCAGTGTCTCATGATATTTACCTGTTGTCTTTTCTGCCTCAGCTATTTGCTCAGCTTCCCTATTTTCACCTATTTACTGTGTGATATCAAAGAAAATAGTGCAGTAACACAGAAATGCAAGTGGATATAGTTAACTGAGAGAGTCCTCAAAGCTTTGTAGCGAAGCAATGTTACTTCTATGAGGTTGGATGTACTTGGCAGAAAGAATCCAGCATTAGATATTATGCTGTGGAAACATAAGCCTTCTCTTGTCAGGTCAGAACATGGGTCTGTTGCCCATTTTGTCCTTTATGCTGCTTTCTAAGCTAGCCACTTAGTGGGAGGGATTAGCCATAAAGGACTCAAACATAATTATGCCTTTAGGAACCTTTTTGCAGAGATAACCTCTAGTGGGTGAATAATCCCAGGATTAGCTGGAGGATGGAGAATGATTTTGGAGTAACTTGATTGGGCTCTTTTATGAGCTGATGAATTCTAAGAGTCACATGTTTTCTTTTAAAAGAGCTTTGAAAGAATCTTCTGAAATATGAAATGTGTTACATTATGTTGCATCACATACATGTTTTCAAACTGGGTCATAACTAGTAAGATTCTGTGCCATAGAAATAAGCATTTCAATGCTATAATCTCATTCAACAATCTGGAAAGCCGCTGTTCGCTAACTCTTGAATAAAAATGAGAGCTAGCTATATTGGGCAAGTTACATTTCTGATTCTTTCTAAAGGTACTTAAATCATATCAGGTTTTTTAAGTTCTTCACACAAGGGCGTGCTTTTTTCTTGTAGTGGTTTACCAGCAAGGTGTGCAAAACGGGTGCAGAAACAGAGGTTTTCAATACAGAAATGTCTCTCTTACCACTGTGTCTTTTTATCTTTCTCTTGTGAACACTGATTAGATATTTTGTTTGCATTTGACACTTGCCTGATCTAGGGTTTCCTGCATCTGAATCCTGCACCCTGAAAAATTATTGCTAAGAACACACAAATTGCTCTGCCCTCCATGTGTGTAGCTTGCCTTTTGTGTCAGGTGTTCCTAAACTTATCAGACAACAGATGCTTGCCAGTTCTCAGTGGCTCTTATACACTTCATGTAGGAATCTTTTTCAGCGTTTCAACTGAAAATGTTACCTTGGCAGTATAATTCTGCAGGGAATTTGCTGGCTACTGATGTGTCTTGGTCCACAGTTTGGGAATTACTTTTATACTCTATATATCCTGAGTTTTCCCTCTCAGTGGTGCTCTGTGAAGCCTTTTCAGGTGGCCCTTGTATTCGTTCTTCCATTTGTTCACCCACTTGAAGATGGTCAGTTTAATTCTTCTCACCTATTGTCTTTTTTTTCTTTAAAGTTGAAAGAGCGCTGAATTCTCTGGCACACGTAGGTTTTATTATACATTCACCCCATGTAATGCTCAGGAATTTTCTAATGTGCTTGTTTTCTTATATAATAACTGTGGAGAAGAGCTGCTGAAGTTCCTCTAAGACTTGCACCAATTAATATTGACACATGTTGAAGATTCAAGAAACAGTCAGGTTTAAAGAAACCTGAAGACAGAACCTAAAGGAACCAAGCTGCAGTTAAAACAATGCAATATTAATGATGTAGAAGGAAACTTCAAGAGAGGGAGCTATTCATAAAATGTTTCAACCACCATTTCCTGTAGGGGACATTTAAATAGAAAAGACAGTATCATAATTTACAATGCTGTTGTCAGTAAATAGCAGTAGCTATGACAAGCCACCTGTTAGCTCTCCTTCTCTCTCTAATTGCTGTTATCTCACCCCCGAGATGTAAGTACTCCTCTAAGGATAAAAAGAACCAAATTCCCACTTCCTGTGGATAACAGGTAATATAATTGCACTTCTGTTGCATATCAGATAGCTGCATGGAAATTATTGGAGGACATGTTGTGCATCCTCATTCCTGGCCTTACATGGCTGCTATCCAGAACGAGAATTCAACTGTGTGTGGAGGAGCTCTTGTGGAAAACCAATGGGTTTTGACAGCAGCGCATTGTGAGTAAGTATCTTACGCTGGGGCATTTTTAACTCTTCATTGAGGTGGGGCATCATGTGCAAGCTTGTAAGTAAGGAAAGGTGGATACTGATTTTTTTAAAGAATTGTTAAAAGCTGGAGTTCTCTCACTAAACTAATCTAAGAACTTGTCATTCTGTTTTGTTGTGTAAACTACCAATCTGCATTGTGTACAGTTACCTAATCAGATCCTGCCAACGTTACAGGATACAGACTGTACTCATGAAAGACCAAATTAATAATTTATGCATCTGAAACAGCAGTTTCTTAGAGAAGGGGATATATTCCGAAGTTCTTTAAACAAGTCTTACTTGTGTGCCTGGGACTAAGCACTAAAACACCCTGAGAGATGAAGTTGAATTAGGTGGAAACATTAATCATCCCATTTTAAGTGACCTGAGCTGATAAAAACTGAATGTCAGTCATGACTGTGACAAGGAGTCTCGTCCTTTTGACAACTCAAATGTGAGCACAAGTACCCCTTCCCCAGGTGGGATACCCCAAGGCTGGCACAGCTGTTGAACAACTGTCTCGGGGTAAGGAGGAC